AGTGCCTTCCAAGCAAAGAAAGAAAAAAAAAATTGACAAGAAAGGCAGGCAAAAGGCAAAAGTTTGTTCTCTTCAGTAAACTTTTCCAAAAACTCCACTCAGAGACTTCTACTCTTTTCTCATTGGCTAGATCTCTCACATGAGTGGTCCTGTTGTTGTTACGTGCCATCAAGTCAAGTCGGTTCCAACTCATAGCCACCCTGTGTATGACAGAACGAAATACTGCCCAGTCCTGCACCATCCTCACAATCGTTGCTATGCTTGAGCCCATTGTTGGAGCTACTGTGTTAATCCACTTCATTAAGGGTCTTCCTCTTTTTCGCTGACCCTCTACTTTACCAAGCAGTCTCCAAGGACTGATCCCTCCTGATAACATGTCCAAAGTATGCGAGACGTCGTCTTTTTGTCCTTGCTTCTAAGGAGCATTCTGGTTGTACTTCTTCTGAGACAGATTTGTTTGTTCTTCTGGCAGTCCATGGTATATTCAATATTCTTCGCCACCACCACAATTCAAAGGCATCAATTCTTCGGTCTGCCTTACTCATCATCCAGTTTTCGCATGCATATGAAGCAATTGAAAACATCACTGCTTGAGTTAGGTGCACCTTAGTCTTCAAGGTGACATCTTTGCTTTTCAACTCTTTAAAGAGGTCTTTCGCAGCAGATTTGCCCAATGCAATGTGTCTTTTGATTTCTTGACTGCTACTTCCATAGGTGCTGATTGTGGATCCAAGTAAAATGAAATCCTTGCAACGTCAATCTTTTCTCCGTTTATCATGATGTTGCTTATTGGTCCACTTGTGAGGATTTTGGTTTTCTTTATGTTGAGGTGTAATCCATACTGAAGGCTGTGGTCTTTGATCTTCATCAGTAAGTGCTTCAAGTCCTCTTCACTTTGAGCAAGCAAGGTTGTGTCATCTGCATATCACAGGTTTTAATCCTGATGCCTCGTTCTTCTTCATATAATCCAGTACATACTTTACATATATTAACTAATATATGTCACAAA